ATATATATATATGCATATATATTTAAGAAGAAGAAGAGTTAGTAGTTACATCCGGACCAATCCTCAATGATTCAGCCCCTCATGGCCATTTACAAGATCAAAGGAGTGGAAGAAGAAATTACAAAGGAAGAGATGAAGAAAAGGAGTTGATCCTTGTTCCCAAGTGATCCAGCCTCCAAATCTTCGTTCCCACTCCGTTCTTTCTTCCTCCTATACTCCCAACTCTTGTTTTTCTCTCTATTTTCATCCTCCTTTCAGTTCTTCTATTCCCCTTTTATATTCTTTTCAAAACAGGGGAGAAATTACAACTTTCAAACCCACCGCTGCAACTGTAGAATCACAACTATGATTGTGGAAAGTTCTTCAAGGTGAGGTAAGCTTCACAGTTGCAGCTGTGGTTTCACAGCCATAACTGTGGAAACTCCTTCAAGCTTAAGGAACCTCCAACGTTGTAGCTGTGAATTTCACAGCTATGGCTGTGACTCTCTGGTGCTCTCTCTCAATCATCAGTGTTCCATGGCTCAATTTGTGAGCCTACAATTTTAGCTTCAAGTCTCTGGACCCTTAAATTTGCATTCCAGATTTCCACAGCTATAGCTGTAGAACCTTAACTACAGCTACAACTTTCTGACCTTCTGATTTCTCCCCAGATTTCCACAACTATAGCTCCAGAACCACGACTATGGCTGTGAAATTTTGTCTTCTTGAATTTTCTGCAAAAAAGGAGGGAAATCATCATTAATTTTCTACTACTCTTCTATCTTTTAATATAAACTTAATTCTTCCTAATTAGAGTTAAATTATCATATATATATATATATATTTACAATTTATCCAAAAAGAGTACCAAAAGTTGAGTGTAATTCATGAATAAAAGACACTCAACAACTCCCCTAACTTAATCTTTTGTTGGTCCCCAACAAAATACCAATCAACTAAAACTTCCCATCATGAGATTGCTTTTGTATCAACAATAGGCCAACACTCAATCAATTCACTATTAAAAACCATTTTTTACTCATTGAGGTGCCCACAAAATCAATCATGCTCAACCAAAAAGATTACAAGACAATTCATAA